CCCCAAAACCCCAAAACCCCAAAACCCCATAAAGAGCGTAAGGGTTTGAATGATATAATTAAGTAAATATGAATATTTTTCAACACATTGATTGAGACTTATCTAATGAATTTATTGATGAGAATGTCACTACCTCCAGTGTCAAGACATCAATAAAGCTTACCAAGAATATGTCAAACAGCCCTTTTAATAATGCCTATAAAGCTCAATTGGTGAAGGCTTCATCTTGACCTGTTCAGGGATTCGCTGAATACTCTAGCACTCCCAAGAGCATATCTAAACTAAAAATGATGAATCAGAACTCTGAAGGACCCTGAAAAGAACCAGTATGAGTTAGGGTAGGCCTCAGAGATGAAATCAAAAGTCTTTTGCAGAAAGCGATCCAGATTCGAAACTCTTCAAGATATGCCTCTGAGAAGCAGATATCTTGAGAAGGATTTAATTTTGAGCATAATAGCTCATCTTCCTCCTCTTGACACAAAGTTGTAACGATGGAGGATGTCTTTGCCCCATATTAATTCATTAACACTAATAATTTGTAAAAACTGTTTCTTACTATACCTCAGGTTATCCAAGTTTTATGCAAATTCTCAATGACTTATTAAAATTACACCTGACTTTATTTTCATTGGGCTGTTAGAATTATGAGAAGATTTTGAAAGTAAAATTTTAGCATGTTCCAAAGCAAACGATCTGTACTGTATCCTATAAGCGTTGATATTAAGACACTTTTCAATAATTCATTTGTCTAGAGGCTCTTTGTAGGCTGATTATCCAATTCGTTGAGAGCCAGAGAGGACTTCACGAACTTTTATTGATAAAGAAATTTCTGAATTTTCCATTATAAACTGTTTGATGGAACGATTATATTAAAAGTTACTCACATCGACAACCATATGAGTTACACTTCCTAAAAATTTATAATAGAAGATCCTCAAATAACATTTCCATTATATGAATTGTGAGACAGACAAGTCTTTAGAAGGTAAGTTTTGACATATTGAGTCTGAAAGCTTGAAAAAATGAGGTAATAAACTTCTTTTTAATTGAAGAATTTAACTCCTTTTCCGATAAGCAAGTTTTTACAAAGAATTAGCCAGTTCCTCTTGCTTACAAAAGCATCCAAATCTTCTAAAAATTTCGAATTCTTCATAATTTTTTTCAGGTTATTTAAAAGTTCCTCTGCGAGAGTTTTCTAATAAAATTCAGAGATTTGTACGCTTTTGAAATTTTAAGTTATTCATCTTCTATGTCACTTGAGTAAACTGGAAATTTGCAGGACAAAAGATTTCTGCTATTTAATTTCAGGGTTTGTACTCATATTTAAAAATAAGATAAGCCTTGGTTATTGAGGATCCTAAAATTCATGAACCTAATTACTAACAAAATGTCCTATTAGAACTTGGATAGCTGAGATGACAGGCAATAGAGGTTTTTATACTCATTATTATTAAATGTTTTCCTCTCTCTTATGGATTATTCAACAACTAGCATTGTTGATTCATAAATTAGAATCTTCAAAGTAGTGTTTTTCATAACGAATATTGATTATTAAAGTAAGTTCAACATATTTTATTAAAATATGCACTGATATGACAGATTCTTGGAATATTCCATTTCACACAAATTTTATCTCCACTCCAAATCCCAATACTCACCTAAATAACCCTCTAAACCCCCTCCCTCTACCCAATATCACTCCTAAATCAGTTCAAACCCCTCTCCAAAACCTCTCTCTTATTTCTTCCATTAAATTTCTTCCCAAAACCCTATCTTCTCTACACAACGCCCCTCTAAAACCCCCTATATTTCCCCTAATATCACCTTCCTCCCAATATCCCAGTAAACCCCCACTTAGAGCCCATCCACTTTCTTCAGGATCCCGTTCCTTCTGGACAAGGGAGATTCAGACTTGTAGAGGAGGCAGACTCTGGGTTTTTACAGAGATGTGGATGGAATTTACTGGAGTGAGAAATTGGGAGTTTTAGGTGTAGTCTAATTTGGCTATCACCAAGATGAGTTGATCAAAAATGATTCAATAATCACTTTCCTGGTTAGATTGTACAAAATATGCCAGAAAAGCACTTCGAGGTAATATTCTTCCCAAGTAGGTTTAAATGGAGATATTTCAATTCAGCTTTAATAACAAGGGGTTTTGGGGTTTTGGGGTTTTGGGGTTTTGGGG